TTATTTGCAAAATTTACCCATTAAGAATTGATCCTAATGAAAATACCAATAAAAGTCAATGTGGATAGAATTGGACAGGGCTAATTGGTATATAGAAAAATTGATAATGGAATGAAGTTGGCTTCATGGAATTAGATTCATTGTGAATATTAAAGTATATACTTTTCATTAACATGTTCACATTAATAATGATAGAATCAAAACTTCTGAGGCTCAAAACAGTAGCACCAGAAAACACCTACCTGATCCAGTTGGTGGAATTGTAAAAATGCCTTCTATTCATTACAATCTAGTCTGAGAGGTAGCATAAAATATTAAATAATAATACCCACAGTAAGTGCTGCAGTGGTTAGGAGGGAGCATATATGAAACTACTGCAGTAATCCAAAGGAAGAGATGAGGGCAGGAATAAAAATAATGGCAATGAAGATGGAGAGGAGCAAGTTAACAAAATAACTGGGAGAAAAATTACTGAGATATTGTGATTGGGTGGTACAGGTTGAATAGAAGAGAGTTTTGACTTGATCTCTTGTGAGATTGTGGTGTCCTTAACAGAATAGTAAATACATGAGGAAGAAAAGATGGAGAGTTCAGTTTTGACATGTAGAATATGAGATGAATATGAAACCAGCCAGATGGAATTGACCAGTAGGAGTTGTAAATGTGGATCTGTAGCTTAGTAGAAAGGTCTTGGCTGGAAATACGGATTTGAGAGTCATCACAAATGCATACTTGGATCCTCTCCCCTCCCATCCCCTCCTCTCTTCTCCTCCTCCTCCTTCTCTTTCTCTTCTTCCTCCCCTTTCTCTTCCTTCTCCTCTTCCTCCTTTCTCCTCCTCTTCTTTCTCCTTCTCCTCCTCCTCCTGCTGCTTCTCCTCCATCTTCTCCCCTTTTTCTCCTTCCCTCCTCCCCTCCCCTCCTCTACTCTCCCCTCCTTTTTCTTCCTCTTTCCCCCCCTGCAAGTTTCTATCATTACATGCCCCCTGTCTCCCTGTCTCTGTTTCCTTCTACCTTCCCCTTTTTACTGTTTTATAAATTGTTCCTTGGTGATTTTATTCATTTCCTATGTAGGCAATATATACATCTAGACAGTATCTGATACTTCCTATACACACATAGTCTACAGACAGTACATGAAATAATATAGGGATAATTATAAAATAAGAAAAAAAGGAAAAATTGAGAGACAACACAGTGATGAAACCCTTGGGACTACTGATTGATATACACACATATAATACAAATACACAGTTATATGAAGTTGAATTCACAGAGAAGACAGAAAATAGACAGGAGATCAACAAAAGAGGAATGCCTGAAAATCTAAGGGGAGGAGTTTTAGGTAAGAGTGACCAGTGTGTTTGATGTCCTAGACTGTCCATTGAAGGTAAGAGCTGAATAAAGGACAATTATATGTTTTTGATTTAAGGAATTACATGACCTAAAGTGGTGATTTGGGACACTCTGGTGCCAGCATACACAATGGGTCAAAATGGAAATGCAGACATTAGATACTAGAGTAATGGTGGGAAATGAAAAAAATGACAAGGGCAAGATTCTATAGCCAAAACAAACAAACAAACAAACAAACAAAAATATTATTGTTCCATGACAGGCAGCAACACTAGGTGGCCGTGTGACAGATTTTAGGCCAGTGGCAAATAGAGAAATCAAGGAAAAGCAGTGATTTGGGGAAGATGACGATCAACCTTTTGATTAAGTTTGATTTTGAATATAGAACATTTGTGTGGAAATGACCACGAGTCAGAAACTAGAACTTCTGAGAATGGTTATACTTGGTATTAGAGATCCAGTATAGTCTTTTACATTGAATTAGTGATCATAAAAATAGCCAGGGAATTAGAGTACCTTGTAGGAGCAGAGATTCTTAAGTGGAGTATATGGAAGCTTTAGAGAAGTCTGAAATTGTATCTAAAATATTGTGAATATAATTTTTTTTTTTTTTTGAAAAGAGAGTCCTATGGCCCTTATACGATTCCCAAAGAGTCTGTGACTCAAAGGATAAGAGAGTCACAGGTGACTGATCATACAGGCAAGAATAAGCATCAAAATGAGAGAACCAAGATAAAACTAGGATAAAAAGTTACAGAAAATGACAACAGAGGGAAAGCTGGTGAGAAAATTAAACCAGGCGTAAAAAACCTAAAAAGGGTACAGATTCATGTTTTATCTGTTATACCACCAGAAATACTCTGTATTCCTTAGACCCTGTATAATTTGCAGTGTGTTAATTGGTCATCATGATGATGACCTGAGAATTAAGAATTATATTCTGTCGATTCTGTCAGTGGCAAAAAATTACATAATATATTTAGAATTATTTTAATCCAGAACACTACAATAATATTTTTTAGTGTATAAGAAGTGTAAGATGTATATTATTGAGAATGACTTGTTATCAGAGCATTTCAGCTCTCTGTAAATTTTATTAATAAAGATTTGTTCCCAACATTACCATAGTTTTTTGTACTTCATTTGATTAGTTGGTTTATCAAGAATTCCATTCTCATATGGGCCTTTTGAGTTCAGTGTTTTCTTGGGGATCTCCTAATATAAAGTGTTAGCATGCACACCTGCACTACAGTTGCCAGGACTTTAAGTTGAGGGCAAAACATTCTACCAGTACCAATGAAATAACCATGATCTGATTAAATAAATTACTGCATGTCCAGTTTGGATGTGGTTATTCCAAAGGTCTTAATTGATATAAGGTAAGTATTTGCTAAGATGATGTCTCTGTTGCAGATGTACTTCTTGTATTGAAATATTGTTTCAATCGTATCAAAATTACTAGAAGAAATAATGTATAATGCATTGAATTAAAGTCCTCATTTGCACATCTTTTTTGGTAAACTGGGACAGGAGAGTACCATGTATTTTAATTAAGCATCTAGTAATTTTTAATAGTTTTAATTTGACATCTATTATTTTGTTCCTAACATATTAAAGAGTAAAAATAACCGTGCTTTATTCATGCTAGTTCAGTAGATTTTTTTAATGACTTTATTTTGAAATTTTGAGTTGCCACGTTTTCTTTACTACATGAATTAAATGTGAAGTGATAGATGGTTTATTTTAGAAAGTCTTCTATTATTATGAATTACGTATTGCTTTTGTACAGAAGCTTTTGTATGGGTACTGGCTTAAAAATGACGACTTAAGTGTTAGCATCAAAAGGAAATGGGAAGGTTGCATACTTCCATGGTTAATTTCTTTGTGCAGCATCTGCTGCTTTGCTGCCTCCAGCAATTATTTCCATGCATGTGTGTCGTTTTGTTTTTGTTTTTTAATTTTTGAGACAGAGTCTTTTGAATACAGTAGCATGATGATCTCAGCTGACTGAAACCTCCACCTTCGGGCTCAAGCGATTCCCCTGCCTCACCCTCCCTAGTAGTGGGGACTACAGGCATGCGCCACCACGCCCAGCTAATTTTTGTATTTTAAGTAGAGACAGGGTTTCACCATGTTGGCCAGGCTGGTCTTGAACTCCTGGCCTCAAGTGATCTGCCCGTCTCAGCCTCCCAAAGTGCTGGGAAACTATGCATATCTTTTAAAGAAGATTTCTTTTTTTCTTTTTTTTTTTTTGGAGACGGAGTTTCGCTCTTGTTACCCAGGTTGGAGTGTAATGGCGCGATCTCGGCTCACCGCAACCTCCGCCTCCTGGGTTCAGGCAATTCTCCTGCCTCAGCCTCCTGAGTAGCTGGGATTACAGGCACACGCCACCATGCCCAGCTAATTTTTTGTATTTTTAGTAGAGACGGGGTTTCACCATGTTGACCAGGATGGTCTCGATCTCTTGACCTTGTGATCCACCCGCCTCGGCCTCCCAAAGTGCTGGGATTACAGGCGTGAGCCACCGCGCCCGGCCTTAAAGAAGATTTCTACATTTCCAAGGCCAAATACAATTTTGTTATTTTGGGATTTAGATGGTTCATGTTATTGTGGGTACCCTGTTTTTTTGTTGTCTTTTTTTTTGAGGTGGAGTCTTGCTCTTGTCTCCCAGGCTGGAGTGCAGTGGTGCAATCTTGGCTCACTGTAACTTCTGCCTCCTGGGTTCAAGTGATTCTCCTGTCTCAGCCCCCTGAGTAGCTGGGACTACAGGCATGCACCACCACGCCCAGCTGATTTTTGTATTTTTAGTAGAGACAGGGTTTCACCATGTTGGCCAGGCTGGTCTGGAACTCCTGACTTCAGGTGATCCACCCGCCTTGGCCTCCCAAAGTGCTGGGATTACAGGCATGAGCCACCGTGCCTGGCCACTACACTTTTTTTTTTTTTCCCCATTAGATTAAAATACAATTTTCAGTAATGTTTACATGTCTTCTGTAGTATATAACAGAACTACAGAATAGTAGCAATATAGCATTATGTGTCACATATGCAATTTAAAATTTTCTAATAGCCACATTAAAAGGAATAAAAAAGGTAAAATTAATATTTTTATTTACCTCAGTACATTCAAAATACAGTTTTAACATGTAATCAATATAAAAATCATTGAGATGTTTTATTCTTGTATTTCACATCAAGTCTTCAAAATCCAGTTTGTATTTTATACTTACAACTTGTTTTAATCTGGATTAGCCACATTTCAAGTGTTCAGTAGCCACATGTGGCTAATTGCTATCTTGTTTGTTGTGTGATACAGGTCTGTAAAGTCAGAACAAATTCTTAGGATCTGGATGGATGGACAGATAAAAAGAGATGTTTATCTTATATGAATCATATTTGATCATTGTAATAACTAGTTACCAAAACCCAATAATCTGGTCATCTTTATAGATATCAAAGTTGGGCCTTTTTACTCATTGAAAAGTTAATTGGATTGGAGGAGATATGCTGGAAATATTGGGTAGATGGAACTTCACCTATTTAGTTGCCCTTAATATAATATAACTGTATTATGTAGTTGCATTGTTTTTACTATATATGCATGTTTATACTTCCATGAAATTTCAGAATATGTCTATAACCTTTAGCATAAATGCAGTTCCAACTACAATGAAGATTTTGTGCTACAGCTAGAGAAGGAATTAGTTCAAGCCCGACTGAGTGAAGCTGAGTCTCAGTGTGCACTAAAAGAGATGCAGGATAAAGTCTTGGATATAGAGAAGGTAAGAAACCTACGCAAATGTAGTCACTCCCAAATCAGAGGGGATATGTAATATTTATAAGGTACTGAGCAATTTAATTGACTTGGTATTTTTACACATTAGAAGCCTTACATATTAGTTACTAAGAGAGAAAAGGAAGAAAAGATTTTTAAAATTGTCAGTTATTCCTTGTTGCCTTCATACTTATCAAAGCCCCAGATTTAAGGATAAAAATGGAGATTAGTGCCCTTTTGGAGGAAAGCAACCAGAATAATTTTCATAAAAAGAATATCTAAATGTTGCAGAAAAGAAATTCGGGTGACAGAAATTAACTCTTATCTTCAAATATTGTGGTATTTTCATGTGGAAGAGACAGAATAGTACTAATACATAGACATTTTAGGGAGAATTTCATTTGAATGTAGTTGTTAGAACTGTCCAATCCAGAACAAGTTACCTCAGGATATGTAGGAATTTCCTTTCAGCCTGTGGTGTACTTAGAGAAGCTAACTTACTTCAAGGATATTAAAGAACATCAAAAATTAGCTAAGTAATGGGAGTAAAAGAACTTCAGGTTTCTGATAACTTTCAGATTTAAAAGTTCTAGATCACAAACTCTGAATCTCTTGTTTCTCATCTATCAAATTACTGGTGGCCTGGTGTCTGTGTTGTTTGTTCCTTTTTACACTTAGGTAATAGCTAGCTATTGAATCCAAAAAGCTAATAGATAATGGACATAACGGTCTCAGGTGTTTTTAACTATTTTCTTTTTTTTTTTTTTTTTTTTTTTTTTTTTGGAGGGGTGTTTTTTTTTTTTTTCCCAGGCTGGAGTGCAATGGCGCGATCTCGGCTCACCGCAACCTCCGCCTCCTGGGTTCAGGCAATTCTCCTGCCTCAGCCTCCTGAGTAGCTGGGATTACAGGCACACACCACCATGCCCAGCTAATTTTTGTATGTTTAGTAGAGACGGGGTTTCACCATGTTGACCAGGATGGTCTCGATCTCTTGACCTCGTGATCCACCCGCCTCGGCCTCCCAAAGTGCTGGGATTACAGGCTTGAGCCACCGCGCCCGGCCTTTAACTATTTTCTTAATGAACTAGAACAAGTATAACTAGAATCAGTAGTGGAATAATTTTGCTAGAAAATGGCTTGCTATTTTTATATTTCTGGAAAATGTATTCTCTTGATTTGTTGAAAAAAAAAAAAAAAAAAAAAAAAAAAAGCCAGCAAGAATGCTAAAAGGAATGCCTAACAGAATATTTGGTCCTTAACTTAGGTGTATTCTGGGTTACATGATTTAGATAAGAATTTGTGTCTTACAGTTAGAAAGATTTTGAATATTGGGTAGACGCGTATTTGGGTTCCATTCAAAAATGGATTTCTTCGGTGGCTGTGTTTTCACATTATAAAGTAGAGAAAGGAAGCATGCTTCCTATGGTAATATCTTCTTGCAGCATCCTTTTTTATTCTGCTTCCAGCAATCTTTTAAATGCATATGCAGTAAATTTTTAGTTTTCAACTGAGAAAATATTTAAAGTCCATCATAAGAATGTATAATTGGCAAGAATAACTCCATTTCATCATCCCTGTGAGCAGAAAGCTACATGTGCACCATGAAATATTAGAGACAGAAAATTTCCAAAAAAAAAGGGAATCCTCCCCAAATCATTTTATGAGGCCATCATCATCCTGATACCAAAACCTGGCAGAGACTCAACAAAAAAAGAAAACTTCAGGCCAATATCCATGATGAACATAGATGTAAAAATCCTCAATAAAATTCTAGCAAACCAATTGCAACAGCACATCAAAAAGCTTATCCGTCATGATCCAGTAGGCTTCATCCTGCCAATGCAAGGCTGGTTCAACATAAACAAGTCTATAAACATAATCCACCACACAAACAGAACCAAAGACAAAAACCACATAATTAGTAGATGCAGAGAAGGCCTTCGACAAAATTCAACAGCCCTTTATGCTAAAAACTTTCAATAAACTAGGTATCGATGGAACATGTCTCAAAATAATAAAAGCTATGTATGACACACCCGCAATCAATATCATACTGAATGGGCAAAAACTGAAAGCATTCCCTTTGAAATCTGGCACTAGACAAGGATGCCGTCTCTCACCACTCCTATTCAATATAGTATTGGAAGTTCTAGCCAGAGCAATCAGGCAAGAAAAAGAAATAAAGCGTATTCAGTTAGGAAAGGAGGAAGTCATATTGTCTCTTATTTGCAGACAACATGATTGTATATTTAGAAGACCCCATCGTCTCAGCCCAAAATCTCCTTAAACTGATAAGCAACTTCAGCAAAGTCTCAGGATACAAAATCAATGTGCAGAAATCACAAGCATTCCTATACACCAATAACAGACATAAAGGGAGCCAAATCAAGAGCGAACTGCCATTCACAATTGCTACAAAGAGAATAAAATACCTAGGAATACAATTAACAAAGAATGTAAAGGACCTCTTCAAGGAGAACTGCAAACCACTGCTCAAAGAAATGAGAGGACACAAACAAATGGGAAAACATTCCATGCTCATGGTTAGGAAGAATCAGTATTGTGAAAATGGCCATACTGGCCAAAGTAATTTATAGATTCAGTGCTATGCTGGTCAAGCTACCTGTGACCCTCTTCACAGAACTGGAAAAAACCACCTTCATATGGAACCAAAAGAGAGCCTGCATAGCCAAGACAATTCTAAACAAAAAGAACAAAGCTGGAGGCATCACGCTACATGACTTCAAACTCTACCACAAGGCTGCAGTAATCAAAACAGCAACGTACTGGTACCCAAACAGATATAGACCAATGGACCAGAACAGAGGTCTCAGAGGGAATGCCACACATCTACAACGATCTGATCTTTGACAAACCTGACAAAAACAAGCAATGGGGAAAAGAGTCACTGTTTAATAAATGGTGTTAGGAAAACTGGCTAGCCTTGTGCAAAAAGCAGAAACAGGACCCCTTCCTGACAGCTTACACTAAAATTAATTCCAGATGGATTAAGCACTTAAACATAAGACCTAACACCATAAAAACGCTAGAAGAAAACTTAGGCAAAACTTTTCAGGACGTAGGCATAGGCAAGGACTTCATGACTAAAACACCAAAAGCATTGGCAACAAAAGCCAAAATAGACAAATGGGATCTAATTAAACTCCAGAGCTTCTGTAGAGCAAAAGAAACAATCATTAGAGTGAACTGGCAACCAACAGAATGGGAAAAAAATTTTGCAATCTACCCATCTGACAAAGGGATAATATCCAGAATCTACAAAGAACTAAAACAGATTTACAAGAAAAAAACAAACCCATTCAAAAGTGGGCGAAGGATATGAACAGACATTCTTAAAAGGAGACATTTATGAGGCCAAAAAACATGAAAAAATGCACATCACCACTGGGCATTAGAGAAATGCAAATCAAAACCACATTGAGATACCATCTCACACCAGTTAGAATGGCAATCATTAAAAAATCTGGAGACAACAGATGCTGGAGAAGATGTGGAGAAATAGGAACACTTTTACACTGTTGGTGGGAGTGTAAATTAGTTCAACTGTTGTGGAAGACAATGTGGCGATTCCTCAAGGACCTAGAAATAGAAATTCCATTTGACCCAGCAATCCCATTACTGGGTATATATCCAAAGGATTATAAATCATTCTATTATAAAGACACATGTACACATATGTTCATTGCGACACTGTTTACAATAGCGAAGACCTGGAACCAACCCAAATGCCCATTGATGATAGACTGGACAGGGAAAATGTGTCACATATACACCATGGAATACTAGGCAGCCATAAAAAACGATGAGTTTATGTCCTTTGTAGGGACATGGATCAATCTGGAAACCCTCATTCTCAGCAAACTGACACAAGAACAGAAAATCAAACACCACATGTTCTCACTCAAAGGCAGGTGTTGAACAGTGAGAACACATGGACACAGGGAGGAGGGCATCACACACTGGGGTCTGTTGCGGGGGAATAGGGGAGGGACAAGGCGGTTTAGGGAGGTTTGGGAGGGATAACATGGGGAGAAATGCCTGATAGAGGTGATGGGGGGATGGAGGCAGCAAACCACATTGCCGTGTAGGTACCTATGCAATAATTCTGCATGTTCTGCACATGTACCCCAGAACCTAAAATGCAATAATGTGTGCGTGTGTGTGTGTGTGTGTGTGTGTGTGTGTGTGTGTGTGTGTGTGTGTATGAAAAGAAAATTTCATAGAATCAGGCCTTGAAATCTCAAGGTTACCAGTTACCTCAGTTTAGGGAGTTTTCCCTAGGGCCTAGTTGTGGATCTCTTGGTAATTCTCCAGGGCAGTTTGATAATGGGTTACCCTGTGTCCTTTTTATCTTTTAATATGGTGGGAAGTTAATCTAAAATCTTTTATCCATGTGCTGGGATAGTTGCCTAGCCACATGTAGGAGAAGGAAACTGGATCCTCATACCTTATACAAAAATCAACTCAAGATCGATTAAGGACTTAAAGCTAAGACCTGAAACTATAAAAATTCTAGAAGATAACATTGGAAAAACTCTTCTAGACTTTGGCTTAGGCAAGGATTTCATGACCAAGAACACGAAAGCAAATGCAATTAAAACAAAGATAAATAGCTGGGACCTAATTAAAGAGCTTTTGCATGGCAAAAGGAACAGTCAGCAGAGTAAACAGACAACCCACAGACTGGGAGAAAATCTTCATAATCTGTACATCTGACAAAGGACTAATATCTAGAATCTACAATGAACTCAAATCAGTAAGAAAAAAGCAGTACCAGTCAAAAAGTGGGCTGAGGACATGAAAAGACAGTTCTCAAAAGAAGGTATACAAATGGCCAACAAACATATGAAAAAATGCTCAACATCACTAATGATCAGGGAAGTGCAAATCAGAACCACAATGCAATACCACCGTATTTCTGCAAGATTGGCCATAATAAAAAAAATCAAAAAACAGTAGATGTTAGTGTGGATGCAGTGATCAGGGAACACTTTACACTACTGGTGGGAATGTAAACTAGTACTGCCACTGCCACTATGGAAAACAGTATGGAGATTCTTTAAAGAACTAAAAGTAGAAGTCCCATTTGATCGAGCAGTCCCGCTACTCGGTATCTACCCAGAGGGAAAAAAGTCATTATTTGAAAAAAATACTTGTACATACATGTTTATAGCAGCACAATTAGCAATTGCAAGATCATGGAACCAACCCAGATACCCATCAGTTCAAAAGTGGATAAAGAAACTGGTGTGTGTGTGTGTGAGACACACACACACACACACACAATGGAATACTACTCAGCCATGAAAAGGAATAAACTAACAGCGTTTGCAGTGTCCTGGATGAGATTGGAGACTATTATTCTAAGTGAAGTAACTCAGGAATCGAAAACCAAACATGGTACTGATAGTGGGAGCTAAGCTATGAGGACACAAAAGCATAAGAATAATTCACTGGACTTTGGGGACTTAGGGGGAAGAGTGGGAGGGGAGTGAGGGATAAAAGACTACAAATAGAGTGCAGTGTATACTGCTTGGGCACTAAAATCTCACAAATCACCCACTGCTAAAGAACTTACTCATGTAACCAAATACCACCTGTTGTTCTCCAATAACTTATGGAAAAATTAAAATAAATAAATCTTCTATTCATGAATCAAATTAATTTCAGTTGTTTAATTTGAATCAATTGTTAAATTGTTTAATTTGTATTTCTTGACTTGATGTAAATAGTGACTAATACACAGAGATTTGATACTGCTCTCAAAGATAACATGCTGAAGAAATTCAACAGAAACAGATTTTGGACTATTATTTTCTAGAAATATTTTAAAAGTAAATGATATTCATGCTTTATCTGGAGTCTAATCAGAGGTTAGTAAGTTTATTGCCATATTGAAAAAATTTTTAATCCTGTTGCTCCATAACTCTGATTAGTATTTTATTAACTAATCAGAGTTAGATTTCTGTGTCCTCAAAATTAAGTACATTTCCCCTCATACATTGCTAGTGGAAATGAAAAGCAGTATAGCTGCTTTGGAAAAGTTTGGCAGTTTCTTAAAAGTTAAACACAGAATAATTACCATCTGAGCCAGCAGTTCTGTTCCTAAGTATATACATAAGAATATTGAAAACATAAGTCTACACAAAAACTTTTTCACCAGTATTCATAGCAGCATTGTTTATAATAGTCAAAAAGTGGAAACAACCTCTATTAACTGATGAATAAATAGATTAAATGTGGTATATCTATACAGTGGAATATTGTTTGGCTTAAAAAAAAGATTGAACCTTGAAAACATTGTTCTAAGTGAAGTAAGGTTGTCACAAAAATCTATAAATATATATGATTTGCTTACAAGAAATGTCCCAATAGGCAAATTCGTGGAAACAAGAAGTAGATTGGTGGTTGCCAGGGGCTGGGGAAATGGGGAATGTAGAATGACTGGTGATGAGTATAGGTTTCTTTTTTGCGTGATAAAAATATTCTGAAATTAGACCTTTAACAACCCTGTAAAGACTCTAAAAACCGCTGGCTTGTATATTTTAAAAGAGTGAGTTTCATAGTTTGTGAATTATACTTCAATACAGCTGTATAAAATTAAATATGTTTAAGTGTGGAACAAAATATCTCTTTTATGTGCTATGTTTTCCTTAAATTTAAAAATTTCAAATTAAATTTTCTTCTTCTGTAGAGAAATAACTCCCTTCCTGATGAGAATAATATTGCAAGGCTTCAGGAAGAGCTAATTGCTGTGAAACTGAGAGAAGCAGAAGCCATTATGGGTTTGAAAGAACTTAGACAGCAAGTCAAAGATTTAGAGGAACACTGGCAGGTATATTAATATATTTTATGTGCTTTTCTAAAATATAGTAAAACCCGAATATCAAATTTGTAAGAGTTCGAAGTAGCTGATGACCTACAGTGGGAGATGAGTTTAAAGTGTCTCTCACTGACCCTGTTTAAAGTCAAAATTGAGAGTATTTATAAACTGACAGTGCATATAAGCTGTTTCTCCCTCTTATGGTAAAATAAAAGATACGGTAGAAATCAAGTCATATTTTTGTTGTCGTACCATTGTGCCTTGTATAACTTTTTCTGAAAATCTATAAAAGTATTTCTTCTATGTAGTACATATTTTGTCTTAACGTTGATGTTAAGTCCATTGTTGGTTAGTGTGAAACACTAGAAGGATGACAACATTATAAATTTTATCTATAAATTAGTAACTTATTTAGTTATCTTACCAAATAAATCACATTTTTCTGGTATATGCCCACACATTTATTCATGGAAGAGGGAAATGTTGACAAGGAACAAAATACATGTTCTATACAAGGACCAAAATTAGGCCTTGAAATTTTCATGCCTTTTTTTTTTTTACAGTGTTTTGAAAAGGTTGCAATTAACTTGAAATTTTAGAACAAAAAAGACAAAACTTGTCCTATACCACAGACACCTTGAGAAACACTGCCGTTAACTTCTTACATCCCTTCTTTAATGGCCCCATTTTTTTTTTCTGATTTATTGGGATTTCATTGAAGATAATATGAAAAATCTCATTAAAAAAATTATAGTGTCTCAGACAAGTGTGGTTCAAAAGAAAAAAATTATAAAGAAAATTGTATTCTTTTCAAGAATTAATCTGAAGTATATAGAGAAAAAAATTTGAACTATATTTGACTTTCTATCCCAGATCTGCCACTTACTGGCTGTATGATCCTCCTGAAGTTACTTAATCACAATGTTCATTTTCTTACTTGTAAAGTGATGGTAACAGTGCCTGATTAATAGGATTTTTTAGGGATTAAATAAAATAATGTGTAGAAAGTGCTTTATGTAGCACACCCTGAAATAAGTGCTCAGTAATATTAGCTCTTATTTTGATACTGAGAGTATTTGCTGCAATATAATTTTTTTTCTGCTTTAGCGCCACTTAGCTCGTACTACTGGGAGATGGAAAGACCCACCTAAGAAAAATGCTATGAATGAGTTACAAGATGAACTGATGACCATTCGACTTAGAGAAGCTGAAACACAGGCAGAAATAAGAGAAATAAAACAAAGGATGATGGAAATGGAAACACAGGTATGATGGGAAGGCCCAGTATCTTAAAAGTATCATTAGCTGATTGAGGGTTTATGCACAGATTGTATCATCTCTAGAATAGAGGTGAACAGTGACGATATGAAACTGTATAGACTGCAATTTTCTAGGCCAAATGAAGAGGGCAAAAAATTGTTATCTTTGATTTCTGAGATTTAATCCTTCTTTAACCCATTCAAAGTTCAAGGAAGTCAAATTTTATTTGACTTTATTGAGTAAAACTCATAGCATTGCCCTGCTGCATGACTTGAGAAGAAACACTATGTAGAGCAAAATTTCTCAGCCTCAATACTTTGAACATTTTTGGCTAGAAGATATTTGGTTTTATGGAGCTGGCCTGTGCATTACAGATGTTTAGCAGCATCCCTGGCCTGTACCCACTGGATGCCACTCACGTCTCTCCCACCCCAGGTTGCGATGACCAAAAATGTTTCTGCACACATTGTCAAATGTCCCCTGGGGACAAAATTGCCCCAGTTGGAAACCACAGATGTATACTATGATGTGAATGATGCTTCGTAAAGTTGTTTAATGTGGTGATCCTGGGCAGTGAATTCTAAAATTGCCCCTCTTTCTTCTCAGGCCTCTCTTCCCTCCAATAAATTCTATCTTAAATATACTTAAGATCTGCAAAAGTCTTTTTTATGGAACCCATTTGCATGGCAAAGACACATTTGGTTTTCATGTGGTATAGTTGTTTGGATCATAATCTTTATACTCTGTGAATATTGTTATTTGGCTTTTAAAATATTTATTTAGTCAGTAGGGGGCATACTTAACTCATATATCATTCTGTATTCCAATGTGCAAAATGATCATAACCTCAAACATAACATGAATATGTAATTTCTTCAGAATAAGCATATCTTGGTTTGCATTGTTCAAAGTTATTTTCTTAGATTTTTCTTGTATTATTCTATATAAAATACTTCCACATATTATTTTATAGTATAATTAAAATAGGAAGAGGTACTATTGAGATTATGAATGGTGGAAATCTAAGTTTTACAATGGGAAGTTTTATTTTTGTAACCAGATATTTTAGTATAGATACTAAAGATGCAAATACAGCTTTTAAGCCAGTGTTGAGGATTTACTTCACAATGGGTAGAGGTGAATAAATCAAATCCAGCAGACATGGTTTTGAGAACTTGTGAAACACAAAGCACTGTCCCAGCCATTAAAGGACTTACACTTGAGAAAGCAGATGTGCACAGACTATATTTAATATAATTCAGAAATTTGGTAAGTAGAGAGGTAGAAATTGCTATGGAGATTAGGAGGAGAAAATTAATTTCAACTAAGTGGTTTGGAGAAAGATTTCCTAAGGAATTTGTATTGTGCGTGACTAATGCTGTCCCTGACTAGTAAGTGTGATTTTAGATGGATTTTGCTGGAAGCGGGATGGTTTAAGGCAGTGGTTCCTAAATGTCAGTATTTGGACTCGTGATGGGTATTTGCTGCAATATAATTTTTTTTCTGCTTTAGCGCCACTTAGCTTGTACTACTGGGAGATGGAAAGACCCACCGAAGAAAAATGCTATGAATGAGTTAAAAGTTGAACTGATGACTATTCGACTTAGAGAAGCTGAAACACAGGCAGAAATAAAACACACTCCCTGTGTTTCCATTTCCATCATCCTTTGTTTTATTTCTCATCATGATGATGATCCAGGCAGTTTTCACATTGATAAATGAAAAAATAAAAATAAAAATGGTGTGGTGTAATGGTGGTGGTATATAGTAATCTAAAGAGCATTATACCAAACACCCATGTATCTACCATTTAGATTAAAAAATTTGTCCATGTAACTCCAGTTCTGTTATTTTAGGGACTTAGAAAAGTCTGTCAACAACTATACCTCAATTAATTGATTCACTCTCCTTTTCGTTGTTGTCAACAGTGCTACTCTGAACATTCTTGTTTATGTTTCCTTGTTTATATCTTCAAGAGTTTCTTAAGTATAAAGGTTCTTACTGTTTTTGTGTTTGTGTGTGCCATCAACAGTTTTGGCAGTCTGGAACCTATGAAACTCATCTTAAAATAATATTTTTTAATGCATAAAACCAAATACAAAGGATTGCAAAGCAAGCCACTTCTATTGAGGTACAGTTGTCAAAATACTAAAAACATATTTGTGATGGAGATCACATAGACAGATACAACACATTCCCATTGCTGGATTCAGGTTTTTAATATTTTGGATTTAGATTTCTTAAGATACGTTTTACTATATTTTTTCCCATCTTTGAATTTCAATTTATCTGTGTGTTTACATCTCTGGTAAACATTTTATAGATGGGTACTTTTTAAAATTCAGTCTGACAGATTATTGTTCAACTCTGAATAGGCTAAAAACCATTGAATATATGTATACTTGGGGGAGGTCAATTTTATAATATATGAACTGTATTTCAGTAAAACTATAAAAACCAGCTGGGTACAGTGGCTCATGACTGTAATCCCAGCATTTTTGGAGGCCAAGGCAGGTAGATCAGCTGAGGTCAAGAGTTTGAGACCAGCCTGGCCAACATGGTAAAACCCTGTCTCTACTGAAAATACAAAAAAAATTGGCCAGGTGTGGTGGCGCATGCCTGTAGTCCCAGCTACTTGGGAGGCTGAGGCAGGAGAATTGCTGGAACCCAGAAGGTGGAGATTGGAGCAGTGAGCCAAAATCATGCCATTGCACTCCAACCTGGGTGACAGAGTGAGACTCCCTCTCAAAGAAAAAAGAAACAAAACTATAAAAACCATTTAGTCTCATAGTTTCTTTTGCTGTCATGTTTGATCTCAGTTTTGTGATTTTATTTGGATTGATAATCTGTCACCTTGCTAGCTATTTTGTTTATTCCATTTGTTCTTTCTTTTTTTATACCTTCTCTTGGATTTATTAGATATTACGATTCAATTTTTATCTTCAGCATTTATCTTCACTTATTTATATACCTATCAAGAGTTTTTTTAGTGGTTGTTCTAGGTTTTATAATAGAGCTTACCTTCAAATAATAAATTATGAATAATGAATAAATAATTACACACTTCATGTGTAATCCAAGGCTCTTACAACAGTGTATTTTCAGATCTTTCTACCTCTTTTGTGAAGTTGTCACACATTTTACATATTGTCCAGACATATAATATATGCTACTAATTTTGCATCAAAGTTACCTTTCATAGAAATGTAAGAATTTTAATGAAATTTGATTTTCCTTCAGGATATTCTGTTTCAGCACTCTTTCTTTGTGTAGATCCATGTTTCTGTCCAGTGTCTTATTTTTTCTGCTTAAAGAACTTCTTTTAACATTTTCTGTAATGCTGGTATACTGGCAGTAGATTCTGTTAGTTTTTGTTTGAGAAAATGTTTATTTCTTCAGTTTTAAAAGATATATTTGCAAGATACTGAATTCTGTCTTGACGGTTTTTTTCTTTTAACACTTTAAATCACTCTACTATCTTCTTGTCAGAAACCATGCCAGCCAGGACTCTGTTGTAATTCTTATTTTTGTTCTTCAACATGTGATGTATTGTTTCCTCTGGTTGTCTTCAAGCTTTTCTCTTTATTTGTAGCAGGTTGAATATGGTATACCTAGATCTGGGTTTTTTTTTTTCTCCTCTGGGTTTATTTGATTTATGGATTTGTGTATGCCACAAATTTTGGAAAATCCATGGTTGTTACTTTTTTTGTTTTTGAGACGGAGTTTCACTCTTTCTTGCCTATAGATAGTGCAGTAAGAGGCAGAGGTTCACCACAACCTCTCCCTCCCAGGTTCAAGCCATTCTCCTGCCTTAGCCTCCCAAGTAGCTGGGATTACAGGCATGTACCACCACACCTGTCTAATTTTATATTTTTAGTGGAGATGAGATTTCTCCATGTTGGTCAGGCTGGCCTCAAACTCCCGACCTCATGATCTGCCCACCTTGGCCTCCCAAAGAGCTGGGATTACAGGTGTGAGCCACCACAGCGGTCTTTGATTGTTATTTCTTCAAATGTTTCTTCTCATGCTTTCTTCTTCAGGGATTTCAATTATAGATATGTTACATTGTTTGAGGTTGTCTGACAACTCTTGGTTTGTTCTTTTTGTCCCTATTATTTTTCTCTCTGTGTTTTCAGTTTCCATTGACTAAGACATTTTGACTGACAAATTATTAAGTTCACTCATTCTTTCCATTGCTTTGTGAAGTTGTCTGATGAGCCATTGAAGGCATTCTTCACATCTGTTACTGTTTTTCATTTCTAGCTTTTCCTTTATTTTATTTTATTTTTCAAAGAGACAGAGTCTCGCTATGTAGCCCAAGCTGGTCTCAAAGTCCTGAGCTCAAGTGATGTTCCTGCCTTGGCCTCCCAAAGTGCTAGGATTACAGTCACGAGCCACCATCCCAGCCCATTTCTAGCTTTTCTTTTTGACTCATAGTTTTTGTTTTTCTGCTGATATTACTTATGATAATCTTGTATGGTTTTCGCCTTTCCCTTAGAACCTTTAGCACATTAATCACAGTTATTTTAAATTCTCTGTCAGATATTATATTAGTCAGGGTTCTCTAGAGGGACAGAACTAATAGGGGAGTTTATTAAGTATTAACTTACGCAATCACAAGTTCCCACAATAGGCTCTTCTACAAAATTAGGAGCAAAGAGAGCCAGTTCAAGTCCCAAAACAAAGACCTTGAAGTCCGATGTTCAAGGACAGGAAGCTTCCAGCATGGGAGAAAGATGTAAGCTGAGCTCGTCTCTCCTTTTCATGTTTTTCTGCCTGCTTTATATTCACTGGCAGCTGATTAGATTGTGCCCACCAGTTAAGGGTGGACCTACCTTTCCACTGACTCAACTGTTACTCTCTTTTGGCAACACTCTCACAGACACACAATACAAAGTATTGATCCTGGATATTAACTCAGTATTAACCATCACAAGTCCACCCTTTGTCAACTTGAACCTATACACATCTCCTGAGATCATATGTAATCTTCAAATAAAGACAAT